ACTCTACTCCCAAGGCAGTACTTTTGATGGCCGAAGCCTACTACCGCAAAGGTGAGTTTGAGGAGGCCTTGACCCTGTTTGAACGGGGCAAACGAATGCGACCCTCCATAACTGCCTTCCAGATCGGCGTGTATAAATGCGAGCAGGCTATTGAGAACAATTGTGGAAGTAAGTTTTGCGCCAGTTTGCTTCAATCAGCCCTGCTACAGTGGACTGCAATCTGGAGTTGGGCCCGGATCTGGATCTGACTGCCTACTACCTACACGCCTTCCCGGTAAGCTATTGCTTTCTCCTCCTACTAGGCATACCCTTCGTCTAGCCCAAGGTCATTCGTAGAGCAGCCGATAGGAAGGTGGGTAGCAAGGTGGTGTCAGCTGCAAAGAAGGTGGAAAAATGGCCAATCGATATGCCAACCGAAGTACTGAACACGCTGTTTGGCAAACAATACCCCGAATATGTGTACTTGCGTCAACTCTATGAGGTTGAAGGTAAGTGCGACTGTCGCGGGGAATTTTCCATCTCCACGGGTTGCAGGCTATTTAGCGTAGAAGAATTATTTCTTACGAGGTATAAGCAGCGAGATTGCGCGGTACAAGTGACGGTTCGACCGTCATTTGTGACGATTTCCACCGCGTAGTCAGGGTGACTTACTCATGGACTAGTGTTAAGTGATGGTGGTAGCCTTGCTTTGCATCTATCACACTCTGTCCCTTCCTCAACCTGGGCCCGGTGTCATGACCAAGTCAAGAAGACAAGAGGTGGGAGAGGGTGCAGGTGGCTGGCGCGACCAGAGCCGCACCTAAACATGCCACCGCATGGATTCTACAGATTGGGAGTGCCAAAAGACCACAGGGACAGCAGGCCACAGCAGAAGTTGCGAAATCAGATCACATCAGGAAGTCACCAATATCGCAGGGGGTTAAGTAAGTCAAACCCTGGTAACTGGGGTCTTCAGATCCGGTTCCTTAGGAGAAGAGAGAAATCTGGGGAGGCCAGGGTGGTAGGGAAAGTATATTCTGTACAGAATGAATGGGAGAATAGGGAGTAGGAAATTGACTAACAGACGACCACACAACCGCAAGCCAGCGGACGGCGTCTGAACTGAGGTCTGCTCGGCAGTCGTCACATGAGGTCCTATGTGAGTCGACCTGTGATTGGCTGATCCAGAAGCCGGAAGCAGCAAGCATTCCCAAAAAATGCACTTCGACTTCAGCTAGTCAAAACAAGCGTTCACAAGGGCACTTCGTGTGGAGCTAGTCACTAAAGTAGAATAGGTAGGCACCTGAGTCATTCCTTCTCCCAAAACAGCAGAAAGGGGACTATTCTACAAGTTCGGATGTCTGTTCTCCAACAGTGCGCACGCCCTTGGTCACACTGATTTCCTAAACTGCACTGAAAAGTAAAACAAAAGGGTGGACACAAGTCACTTTTGTATAACTTTAAGTCCCTTTTAAACTGCCATCGAAACTTTGCCAAAATAAATGTACTTGTTGGGTTTCAAGACAAGAAATTAGAAGAAAATAATCAACAGCCCTAGAAAGGATAGCGAAAACACCTGAGGTATAAAACTCAAGATGGTGTTGTGTGCTGGTTATCTGCCTGGAAAGAGAATTGTGAGCTCACTTTCTTCAACACATAGCAGATGCACCAAATTTACTTTTAACTAAATTTTAATGGTTTTTTGTTGACGACCTACATCGTAAATAAGTGAAAGTGTTTGTAACTCATTGGCGCAAAAGGACATTACTTAGTAGACCCATGGACAAGTAAGCTGTCAGCAAGAACCGAGAATGTTCACATCACGCAGGACAGAGGAGGTCATTGGTTAAGCTTATTCGAAAACCGTACATACGGTACTGTTTGGGCTTGAATTCTGGCCCTTTTATAAGTTCCAATAAAAAATCATTATGCTCAAACAGTAATGGCCACAAACCCAGGCTCACACTTATTCATAACCACATTGCCATCTTCGTCAACATTACTACTAAATAACAGATCAGTTTTGATAAAGTATTTGGCAATCCGAGTAGGTAATTGAAATATCCCTTCTGTCATCCCTTCAATGTAATATAAGCAAGGGCATGTAGTGGAGACCTCAACATTTATTACGAAACGGGACCCCTATAGAAGTCATCTGATGTGTAACGAAAGCAGTTTGTGGTGGCAGTGAAGTTATTTAGACGCACCAAGCAACTGCCATTGCTTTCCGTTTAGTTGGCTTAAGGGCCTATCAACGAAGATCTACCTCGATTTTAAATAGGATAGGCATATTGTGTCGACACTAACATTATCAAAGCTCTCCCTTAGAGTCGACTTATTTTGTTTGTTTGCAGGAAAACGGGAGAAGTTCCTGAAACAATCTGGCATCACTCTCATGCGTAAGTCTACGATTATTGACGTGTTTTATTTACAACACCACAAGTTCAGACTCTTTATGAAATTTACCCTGTAGGGATAGATATCCAATCCTCTTGCATGAGGTTATAGCAACAAGAAATATTGGTAATCGTAATAGTAGTTTGTGTAAGCATAGGCAACAGTCATTTTGGTGTGTATATGGAATGCATAAATATCTTCCTTCCCCTCTTATGACTAAGAAAACGGAAAAGCGTCTCCATAAGGAGCTCCAACTGAGTTTTACATTATACTGTAGAA